GGGTGCTGCTGTGTCACACTGAGCCCCTGGGGGCAGTGTTGTACAGGCTGTGTCTCTGCTGTGGTGGAATACACAAAAGCATATGATTTAAAAACACACTGCTGCGAGATTTCTGATTTTAAATCTGCTGATGTCAAATATTTATTTTAAGGGATAGTTTGACATTTTGGGAAAATACTCCCCAACGTTAGAGTCTATTCATAAGACTGCTTCCATGGTGTTCTACTTCCTGCTGTGGTCTGAGCGCCGAAGTCTATTCCTCTTGTTCAGAATAAATTCATTTATATTCTAATTTACTCCTTCTCATCTATTGATTTATAAGTCTCTCCTGATTTAAAATACGAGTGAAGTGAATCTTAAGTGAAAATGGAATATGACGTCTTCTTGCAGAATCTTTATAAACTTGACCTCCTCACTTTTTCTTCTGTTTCCTGACATCTGCACTTATTTTTCTCATGATGATTATATAATATTTAAATATCTATGTTTTACTGGCTCTCAGATAATCCCTGTTATAAAGCTGACCTGAAAAAATGCACACATCATTTCCCTAGTGGTATTAATTCAATCTCAGATATATAACCCTATACACCTTTGATTACAAATTTCTTCTTTCATATCTCATTTCCCCAAAATGACCTTCTAGAACTCTACAGTATGAATCTGTACTATGACCTTTTTTTATTTTGGTTTCGTACAGTAAGAGCAGATGGAGAACGGTGCCCACGGCGGCGTCAGAACATGAAATGAAGCGGTGGCTCTTCACCGAGTGTCTGACGAGACCATCAGCAAATTGAGCCACAAGCAAGCCTCAAACGTTTACTTAAGGAATGCTTTATTGAGCGCAGTGTCTCTGTTCGGGGCTGCGGGAAATTCACAGCCATTAAATAAGACGTTGTCTTGTAGCCCGTTAGATAGAGCTGCAGGAGGAGAGCCACTTTTTTATTTTCTCTCCAGCCAATCCCTCTGCACCTCCGAAAAACAGATGCTGGCAAAATGAGGCTGGATAATTGACATCAAGTCAGTGAAGCAGGCAAAACGAGGTTTAGAGAAAGAACAAGAGAAACTGTGGCACATTTCCTCGACATAAGATCTGAGTGTGTGTGTGTGTCTGTGTGTGTGTGTGTGTAAACTCTAATTGAAGTTAAGTTCCTCTTCTTAGTGACACAACAGGTTTGAATCACCCACACACACACACACACACACACAACCTCTGATGTGAGAAGGCTGCTGTTGTGTCTATGATGAAGCACAGGGAAGAGGTGATGGACACGTTAACTGGAGAAGACGTGGGGTGGAGGAGCTGGAGCTTAGAGGCAGTACAATCCGCACATTAAACGATTGCTATGGATTTTCCCGAGATTTAGAAAGAGGATCTGCTCAAGATTTTGTTAAACCGATCCAAAGGAGCTGATGTCTCAAGGCCAACACGCCTATTGGGGGTGACGGTTCTGTGTGTGTGTGTGTGTGTGTGTGTGTGTGTGTGTGTGTGTGTGTGTGTGTGTGTGTGCGTGTGTGCGTGTGTGCGTGTGTGTGAGAGGCTGCATGTGCAACAGCGACCGAAGCCTCTTCATGTTCAAAGAGACAAGATCAAAGTGCGGCCCCTTACTCCTGCCCCCTTCCTCAGGATTAAAAAGATCATCAATAATAATGGGCTGGAGCAGAGCGATGGGCAAACTGGAGGGAGACGCTGATAGGTCGCTCCTCTCTCTGTGTGTGTGTGAGTGTGTGTGTGAGTGTGTGTGTGTGTGTGTGAGAGTGTGAGTGTGTGTGTGTGTGTGTGTGTGTGTGAAGTTTAAGTGGGAGCACAAACCATAAGTGTGGGACTGTTTTTCAGAAGCTGGGGCCTGAACCATTCTTCAGAAACATCATGAAATATTCTCCTCAACTACATCTTCACTTCTCTCTTTGGTGTCCCCGTCGAATTTCTGGCAAAATGTATGACTGTGTACGTACGCTTCTCCTGGCAGGTAGTTACCAGGAGAGAATCATCTTATATAATGTATATGAAATTATATAAGACGTTCTGTTCAGGCCTGTACATTTGGAGCCATTTTTTCCCTGTGGGTATTGTGGGGCCGCAGTGAGCAGAGCGAGCGACGCACGGTGATGTTACTGCACATCTCCATTATGGGAACATGTTACGAGACGTCTACATCATGTTGGGAGGGAGGTAGCGAAGGGAGTCGCTCCCGTGTTTATGACCTGATGAGGTTTCGCATCGTTGAGCAACTCGTGATGGTCGCCGCCTGTCACATCGTCCTTTTCTCTACCGCTGCACATTCTAGTTTTCATACTGTGGATCTGACCTGATCTCAAAACAGACTGACATCAACAAACACTAACAACAGAAAGAGACAGAACAATACGATGATATGCTTGAAGTTTACTTCAATACAATGTTGAATGTTGCAGGGTTTGACACAGGGACTTTCAGAACATATTGTGCATCTTTAATAAAGTCCTGTACCTATTTATTAGCTAAGGTTTCAATTAACTATCATTTTCATTATCCAATAATCCGCAGAGTCCGAGGTGGCTGAAAATCCTCATATTGGAATTTTGGGATTTTTCTTTTAAAATCAAGTAAAAATCAAGTAAAAATAGTTGCAGATTGATTTTCTGTTGATTGACTAAGTTAAAATTCACCTGTAAGAACGATTCAGGCAGCTTGACGGGATCCAAGTTATTTTTTTTCTTTTCAGGCACTTGAGCGACATTTAGCTCTAAATGAAAAATATATAATCTTTTAGTAAAATAATATATATGTGTAATATAAGGACAGCAATTTTGCATATGGACTTGTTTATGTGAGTGGATGCAACTGAGACATTTAGAATATCCAACAGAAACGTTATGTCATATTATTAGTTTCTCATAGTTATTATTTGCATTTGTTTGTAAGAGCAGCACCACTTTGTGTCTATGATAATTCAGTAGTAGTATTCAGATCTGCAACCCAATTATTTATTAAGAGTAAATAAGTATTAACAGCAAAATGCATATAAATACCTGTTACGAAGAAAAGACAACATTGTGACTGTTAATGTAAAATCTTAATCAGCAACTGCAGTTTATAGTACAAACTATACTAACTACAGCTGTTAATAACAAATATTGGAGTAAATTGGAATATTTCCCTCTGGAGAAGTTAATTATGGTTTAGTGGCGTTAATTAAAGGGTCCTCCACTGCCTACGGACCCGGTATCTCACACACTGTTCTCACACTGTGAGAGAGTGAGAACACACCGTGCACTTGATAAACAGGTGGAGGGGTAAACGGTCAGAATATAGTCGGACTGAGATCTTTCCCCCCTCTCCCTCAAGTCTCTCTTTCTTCCTCCCCTCTTCAATCACACTCTTCCCCCAGGAGGAGAAAAAGGAGAGGGAGCTAATTAATTACAGTGACTGACGACTCAGTGGTGAACATCCAAGGAGGTGAAGAATTGTGCAGCGGTGTAACTATGACAGTAATCTGAATCAATCCTCTACCTTCACGACCAACCGCAGCGCACCGCCTCAGAACACACCACTGTAACCCCGCTCGCCCTGTTCTGTTCGTTTCGCCGTTTCCACGATATAATAAGGTCAGCAGCAAATGAGGGTCAAAGATCAGAGGAAGAAGACAACAGCCAATCACAGAGATGTATGAATGCCGGCCAGGAGACTGGTCACAGCTGCATAATGTCAGATCATCAGCAACCACAGAGCAGAGGGATCCCTCCTCTCTCAACGTCCACTCATCAAACAACCAACTCAGGAGCCAAAAAACAGATGTTCGTTAACTCTGTAACAGTACATGACATTTACCGAGATAATTACTGACTGATATCAACATCTTTATCAGTATTTTTGGCCGTACAGCCCAGCCCTGTGTGAGAGACACAAGACAGATGGGAGCAGGAGAACGAAAGTACCTGAACCATGTGCAGCAGCAGCAGAGCTAGAAAACCAGAGTTAAGTCCCTACACTGCTTCATCTGATAGATGGTTTTCATTATCTCTTCCTTCCTCAGGGGAAGAAGCTCCGACCGCCCTTTCTCTTGATCTTATCAGTCTCCTGTTATAGATCAGTAACTACCACCGAACAATAGAACAATCAACTCAATTCTCCATTCCCCTTAATTGTATTGTCCGCTTGAACTGCCAATAAGATGTTTGATTGTAAAACGATTGGGTGCAACTTTAGATTTTGACTCAATTTACTAACTGGAGACAAACGTCATAGTCGAGAGTCAGTTGAAGCAAATTTTAAACAGCATTAAATAAATGTTTGCTCTGAGTCAATATCTTTGGATTGATTGAACTAGTTTTGCCATCCTTTCAATTTGCAGTAAATGTGTTTAATTAGCCGCCTGTAGCCTTGTCAGCTAGGTTTGGGGAAACGCTGTCGTTTAATTGGCATAATTAAAAAGGAATGGAGGAGAAAGCCACTGTGCGTCAGGCGACGATGACTCAACGTGCACAGTGTAAGGGAATGACGTCTGGATTTGCATCGGGGAACACAGAGGCACCCAGCGCTGGATGCCAGCACCACTCAGCATCAATACTGCATGCAGTGATGCTGGAAAGCCAAGCGCTCCAGACCATGAGGCACACAAGTGGGCTAAAATAAGACCCACTGAGCTTTACAGCCAGAATAAGCTTATGTGTGGAAAAAAAACAGTTCTGCATTCATCATATTGTATCTGAGAGGAAAACTGGGTCAGATGGATAAAAACGCAGAGGGTCTGGGTCTGAGTTTTCAAAGTGGAACAAGCAAGAAGTCAGTTTAACGAGGTAAAGCAAATAAAAATGAGAAAATTTGATTTGTTGACACTGTCCAATCTTTACGCAAGGATAAATCTCCCTGTGCAGTAACTGCAGCTCTAATTTATTTATCTTTCTCTGCTGACACTATACACATGCTGCATAAATTAAAGAGCACACATTAATTTATAATGCGCTGTGGATTATGCATGTTCACATGTTCATGAGCACAAGTGCATGTTCCCACCGACCTGTGCTGCTCTGGATGGTTCTGACCGTGGTGGTCGTGCGCGGCGGCGAGTGGCTCCTCCTGTTGCCCACCGTGACGCCGCCCTCCTCCTCCTCCTGCGAGCAGCCCTTCTCTATGGCACGCACGTAGCTGTGGCTCCGCATGCGGAAGCAGCCGGCCATGGGCAGGTCCAGGGCATCCACCGCCTGGGACTCCATCTCACTGAACACCGACTCACACACGGCCTCGATCTGCCCGTTCACCTCCACCTCGCTCACCTGCGGTGGAGGGGGGGCGGGGGCACAAGCAGACATACGGCAAGTGCACGCAAACACCCAGATGAAAAATAAAAACATCACACACACACACACACACACAGGAGCAAACGTGACCATGCACAAGGAGAGACAAATGTGAAAAATAAAAATGCACAGGTGCAACATGGCAATTGACTATTTATGTCAGAAGTAAAAGCCAGAGAAGCATCTCTCCCCAGTTTAAAGCTTCACTAGGCAGGAGTTTTATGTAAAATCAGTTTCCCTCTTTTTAAATCATAGATTCAACAAATGCAGTGCAACTTGGAGCATGTTACTTCAGATTGGTCCGACATCTACCTCCACGCCATCTTGTGAAACTTTAAGCCACATAGGAAATCTTGCAAACAATTAACAGAGAAATATATGGAAGAAAACTACAGGAGCGTCCAAGCAGTGCAGAGGGGGGGGGATCCCTGTGGGATAGAAACTTCAAAGGGCAGAGTGAAAAACTACAAGTGTGGTTGTTAAAGGTGAGAAGAAGAAATTGTCAAAACTAGGAATAATGGGATTTGAGACGAGACTTGAGGAAATCTCACTACGTCATCGGCGAGTGCAGCTCGTGTTTCATAACAGGGTCGAAACAGGGTCTAAAGGAAGAAAATAAGAAAACTTAGATAAACTCTGGGGGCAAACTTGTGAGATGGATGTGTGGAGATTAGGATGAGTGAGGGCCGATAAACCTGAAGCTCCATTCCATTCCTCGAAGCCGCCTTCGCTCATCTGATCCAATTAAAATGAAAGTTGCAGAATGTCTGCTGGGAGCACAACAGAGGAATGGGATGTAGCCACGGACCAAAGCTGAGAGTGCGGGTGTTTGTCAGTGAAGTGTGAAACCAGAGACTGTGCGTAAAGATGGACGACATGACAGCTCCTTGATCGCCCCCTGGTGGCTGGCTACAGTGCTCCATGTAAGTGGATGCGACAAGGACCAAACTAAAACAACAAAGTTCCCATTAAATCATTTTTTCTGAACCGATTGAAACGGATTTGTTTAAATGTTTTTTTTGTTGTTGCATCGTCCATCTTTATATTCAGTCTATGACTCAAACAAGTGGGAGTTTACGCTGAAGAGCTTGGAGTCAGAAAAGATTGTGGACCTCAGTTCAGCCCCTGATCTTTAGCCTCTTTAAACATGAGAGTGAGTGAGTGAGCGAGCGAGACAGAGACTCCAGCAGCACCTTTTTATTCAGAGGCATTTCTGTAGACGCCAGGTCCACCGTGTCATCGTCCCCTGGGCCTGCTGCACACCGGGGCTTGAAGGGACGTCTCAAGGGGCAATCGTTCAGTCGACGAGACGAAATGTTGCCCCTGGGCTTTGCAGAGGGAGCTCGCGAAAAGGTAAAGCTAAGCTCTCCTGTCACTCCACAGAATGTAGAGTGTGAAAAATCCTCAATATTCTGTTGAATAAGTGACAATCACACGCCACCTGCCACTGGCTCATCACCAGAGAAGCTAGTTCAGTTCTTTAAAAGAAAACTGAAAACATTTCTCTTTACTTCAGCTTTTAACGAGAGTCTTCTCTGTTTTTATACATTTTTTTAATTTACTTTTATTTTCTTTTCCTTTAAATGTCATTTTAACATTTTATTTTGTATCTATATTGTATGTTAAGTACTTGAATGCGCTGAATTTACTGTATGAAAGGTGCTATACAAAGCTTATTATTATTATTATTATACAATTATTTGGAGTTCATCCATATTTCAGTTATTCATAAAATTCATATGGCTGCATCTCAATGTTTGTTTTTCATCTCTCACAAAGCAGATGCCTAATTGAAGAATCTTAAGCTGGTGGTTTTGCTTCCTAACGTATGGCGAGGCAGCAGGAGAACATTGCGGTGAAGGAGGGGACCTGCGATCGCACAAGCTCCAGATAACAGAGAGCAGACGAACACGCTAATTGGGGAGATTGGGGGTTTTCGTCATTCTTTGCCGGGTGGTGACCTGATAATCCTGTTAATTCAAGGCCTGAGGACAGCTACGGACGGGATTTCCTCCCCCTCTGCATGACCTCATTGGACATAACAGTAGAGGTACAGGGGGCGTGCGAGGGCCAAGGCAGGGACACTCGGGCCCCTAGGTGCCACTAACCTGGCTGATGGTGCTCATGGCTCTCATGTAGCTCTCGTTTCGCGAGCGGAATTTAGGCGAGGCCAGCAGCCCTGCTGGGTCCAAGCTGTCCAGACTCCTATTGATGGAAACCTCACTCACCGCCCGCAGGTAGCTGTGACTCCGGATCTGCAGCTTGGGCGAGTGCTCCGTGGAAATCCTGAAGGTAAGAAAGGGGAGAGAGAAAATATATATATGAGGGACAAAAAAAAGGAGCTTGGCAGAACGGCGAGAAACAAATCGAGAGGGAGACAAAGGAGCAGGGGGAAGAGATTAAGTGATAAAAAGAGGGTGAGAGAAGGAATTTGCAGAGTACTTGGCAGTGTGTACGAACTCAGAGATATGGATCAATCCACAATTGCTTCAGGAGACACCCTTATCTAATCAACAAGCACAGTACTACTGAGAAACACTCAGTAGCTTAGGGAGTCTGCCCTTGAAGCACCTTGTACTTTGTGAAACAGCGTACAGTGAGAACACACAGATGGAATTTCTTTCTCATAAAAAACGACTTACAAATCGACAACACACACACACACACACACACACAC